ATATTGGGGGGAGGTGGGGGGGTGTCACGTGACGCCCTGACTTGCATACCGATGTTGAAACGTTTTAGGGGAAGGAAAAAAGGAAAGAAAAAAAGCTCAAACCTGTGTGGATGCACTTAAATTTGAAGTTTTGAAACGGACTTTTTCGCTATCTGCCTGCTGATGGTGAAGCTTGCTGAAGCCCCCAAACCCCCGCCAGCCTCTGCAAGCGTGCTGCGCTGCCCGGAGACTCAGTCCATTAGTTTTAAGGGGGTAAAGCTACGACTCATTTTAAGAAGCATTTAATCCTAAAAAGAATTGGTTTCTTGATGAGTTTAGGGAAGCCTATAAAAGCCGCAACTCTTGAAAATAATTAGAAAACTTGTGCAAAAGGTTTAGGAACTAATTGGATCCCGCGGTGAGTCCGCAGAGGACAAGTTGTTCATTTGTTACGTTTGTGTAGTCTAAACCGGGCTCTGCAGCAGAGCAATAAGCCGGCGACTGCTCACAATAGGCCCAATGAAAAATAATCTCCAGCTCGGAGATGTTATCGCCAACACTTTAAAGAGCTGATCTTAGAAAGACAGAAAAGAGGAAGAAAAAGGAAAAGAGGGGGGAGGGGAGGGGGAGAGAATATGCCGGGGGGTGAATAAGGAAGCAATAGCAAATCTGAATTCTTGCAGAGTATTTGTCATGCTGAAAGAATAAGGGGAGGGAGGGGAAACCTTCCGAAAATAAGTAATAAATAAGCAGATGCAAGCAGATCTGCAGGAAAGAGAGAGGAGTGAAGGGCTGTGGATGAGAGATGGGACACCCAGCTCTGCACTATGTGGGGGAGAAGGAGAGAAATCTCTGATATTCTTGGCTTTCACTCTCACTTCTGCAATTCAAAATTAATCATCACTATGAGAAAAAGGTTGCTTTGTTTGGGGATGAAGAGATGATACCATCACTTGGAAGCACCTACCCTTGCCTGTATCCTTCACTCTATTGTCATTAAAAGAAGTAATCGCAAAAAACTAAACCCCAAAACTCCTTTGCAAGGAGCCTATTGGAAATAACAAAATGAAATAGGTGTGATTTAAACTCTTGAAGCCTCAAGCCCCCATTCTGTATACTTGTGCCTAAGCAAATTAGAAGAATGGCATCTGCTGCAGCTGACAAAGGAAATGATTTATTATTTACCACTTGCAATTGGTTGTATACTGTAGGAAACCCAATAGCACATACTTAAAGTATTATTTAGTTTGCAATGCAAAAAAATCCGCTGGCAGTGTACTAAAAGGAGGGAAAAGACAAGTCAGGTTAGAGGAAAGCACAATCTCACCATGTCAGAGTTTGGGGTTGGCTAATAAGCATTAATTAGATAAGCGTGATGCATAATAATTCCTGAAAAGGGTAGCCCTGATGTATGTGTCTCCAGACTTGGTGTAAGCAAGCACTCGCTCTCAGTGCTCTCCTTTAGGTTTGGTGCAGCAAAGTGCTGCCTAAACAGTTCAGGTGCCACAGACTTTTCCTTCTTTCTCTTACACTGGGGGAAGGGGTGGTTGTTGAGCTGGTAATTTATTCACGTTTCCATACACATATTACCAGCAATGAGACAGTCTTTGTAAAGGGAAAAAAAAAATACACTAAAGTTGTCATGGACTGTAGGAGGACTGCCAAGGCCCCAAATATGCCTTTACCTTTGCCTGCTCCCCAGCCAGAGGAACCCTTTTGTTCGCTGAGGATGCCTTTTAGGCTGATCTTTGCACAGGATCATTCGGTACTGAATGTGAGGATGTGAGGTGGTGGGTTTGGTTGGGATTTTTCATTCTTCTTTCTTTCTTTCTTTCTTTTTTTTTTTTTTTTTTTTTTGGTTTTAGCAGGCAATAATTCTGTTATCTGATACTTGTTTCCATGGTGTCTTGTATGTCAAATCCTCAAGCTAAACTTTTAGGATTTTTTTTTTTTTTAAATATGCACATTTTCAGAACGTTGCGGTGCCTTAGCGTCGTTTCTTTAGCGTTTCCTAATGTAGAGTGTTTATGGGGAACGGGTGGTCTTTAAGGAATTAAGGAGCTATTGTTATTTTCCTAGTTGATGTTTGAGGTGATTAACTTTGCTCGCATAGATCGTAGGAGAAGAAATCTGCTCATCAAGAAACCTCCAATTACGATTTTAAGATTGCCTTCACAAACATGTTTGAGGGATAATAAACTGCAACTCGAACCCACAATGAGATATTTAGCCAACCAGTTTTTGACATATTTTAAATATATTTCTTTTGTTTCCGTAAAATAGCATCCGTTATGTGAAATGTATTCTCACGAAAGGGTTTAAGAGAAAGTGAACAATAGTATCTCTTGCCTTAAACGGCACAAAACTACTGGTTGGGGGAGTGATAATTTTTTTTAATCCGGTGCTTGAAAAAAATAGTTTAACCGGGACGTCATTTTGCTCTTTGCAACTTCTTCTGACGATTATTCAGATTTATGTCAGAAATTATGATTCAGGTACACACCCCCTCACCACTTGTGTTAGGATGAGGTCTCAATCACCACGTATTCACTATTCACTCAAGCAAAACTCCCACTGAACTCCGGTGACGTTTTGACTGAACCACATCAGAATTTTGTTTGAGAAAGAACATTGAGCAAGAGTCACTGTTTTATTAGTGATTATATTCTTTAATTATTCGTATTTTCCCTTAGGACGGAAAAAAAAAAAAGAAAAAAAAAAAGGTTTGGCTGTAGGTAGTCACTGCTGCGTCCTTAATTGTACAATCGCGAATAATACACCCGCCCAAGAAAGAAAGTATATGCGCATACATATTACATGACTACGAATAGCAATAAATATGTATGTATACATATAGACACACAACCCTGCAGAGGGGTCTACCCATGCACCAGTCTCTGTAGTGGCTTCTCGGCAGTTCTGTGCGCTGAAATGTTCCTGTTTTGAACACCCAGAGGGCGGAGTTCCTGCACATTCCTACCTCA